AAGCTCAATAATCTTTTCTCGGTTACCACTGGCTATTCATTGCCAAGGGTTCGACCCTTGATCCTCTGACACTTGACTCCGGGACACTAAGACCCTATCAGCACTACACAATTCCCCAAGAGTATGATATTTGATATTCTGTGGGCATAGTATCTCTGAGAGAAATTTAATCAGGTAAGCTAATGAGGCTACCTTGTGAAATAATTTTAAAATTATCTTGAGAGCTCTGATGGGTATGGCTTAGTTGGCTGGGCATCAACCTGCAAAGCGGAAGGTCTTGGGTTTGCTTCCCGGTCAAGGCTCGTGGTTGGGTTGCTAGTTCGGTCCCGGGTAGGGGCACATGCAAGAGGAAACCAATGGATGTTTCTCTCTCACGTCCCCTCTTTGTCCCTTTCTTCCCCTCCCTTTATAAGTAAGTAAATAAATATTTTAAATACTTTTAAGAAAACTAATTTTTAAATTTGTTGGAAAAATCTTCCGTGGGGTCCAAAATTGTCCCTAACACTCTTGGAGAAATTTAGAACAAATTCTTACATGCTCCCTCCAATAGAAGTATTTACCCTATAAATTTAGGTCCTTTTTAATTTAAAAAAATATTAAATTTAATCAATTATCCATTTAAATATCTTGAATATGTAGCTTATAATGATGAAGCTGATGTTTGTTTTGCACATTAAGCAATTTCACGTGTCAAGGGCGACCAGAGCAAGAAGAGCTGGCGGACTGGAGGTCACCTCGTCTGCTAAACCCAGGTCTCCTCAGGATTTCTGCTTCTGCTACTTGGGATGCCCTGTGTTTTGCAAAGGGAAAAAAATCGTTTCTCCCTTTATCATGTCAATGATATGATCTCCTGGTCCTCCATTCCTCTTCTCCCAGATCTGCTGTGAGCATTAATTCATTCACGCTCTGACATTTATAAAATGTTTATGACCAACCCATGCTTTACAAAGTCACGCTAGCAGCAGAGCACCTCTAAGAGTCCAGCGGGAGTTATTTTGTAGATTAACACCAGGATGAAGGTAACGTATTAGCTGAGGCACCTGGGGAAATGGTTTGTCCCTGTTGAGCCTCCTTCTCCTGTCTGTAACTGGGGGTAACGTTTCCTATCTTTCAGGGCTGCTGTGATGGGAAATACTAATAAATAACACCACCTCTCACGGTGTGCTCCACACTTAGTAGCTACTGAAGAAACTAAAGCCAGTGTAACTGTTGTATCCCAATTTGCAAAGGGTCTGTTTTGCTCTACTGCGTTAACTCTGCCCCTCCCTGTACATACTTCCTCCCCAGGACCCACCACCAGGAGCAGTGGTGCCTGTCAGCAGTCATCTCAATGACTCAGGAGGTTATTACAGGAGTTCTTAGTGCTACTTTTTACTCATTACCATCCAATAATACTTGTGAGGGCAAACCAGTCGTCCTCTTTCCATACTAACTTTCACATTTGGGGCCTGGCCCTGGGCAGAAACGCGAGAACCAAAAAGAGAACCTTAGTAATCCCTTTAAAAAAATATTTCTCATACGTTGACAAAAAAAACGAGTGTGTTTCTCAGGAGATGAATTCTACAGGCAAACACCCGTGGAACACGCCCGCACTGCACTTTGATCTCATTGGGTTTGAAAGCTCTAAAGCTGTTTGTGTTGCGTTCAAACCAAAAACAGCTTAAAAATGAAAGACTCAGAGATTTAGTCATCTCAAAATAATTATTCCAATGTAATGTGCTGAGAAACCCAGTAAAGGCCGGTCATGGCAAAGGCAAGGTTTTTGCCCCCCTTGAGAGAAAAGCCATGCTGTCCCCTTCTCCTCCCCCAAAATTATTCCATATTTCATAACTTAGAAAAATATAAATCATAACTTACAGCCAACAGTTTACTATTGGGTTCATTTAGCATCAAGCTTTCATTTTTTCCAGCATATGAGAATTTTTTAAAGAGCACTGCACTAAGATTCTTCTTTATTAACAAATCCAGCAGCAAATAATAATAATATTCTGACACAGCTCAAACACAAATTTGCCACAGTGTCATTCTAGACTGTATTTCATCAAAACAGGCAGAATCAGAATTGCGTGAGATTTTTTTTAACATGATGGATGGCCTCACTCCAAACTGCATGAACCAGAGCTCGGTTAGGGGTGTGCAGCGGTCACTATGAGCGCTGCCCATCTAACTTGCCCATCTAACTTTCCCTGTGACTCAGCCAGCCTGGTTTTAGACCTATGGCCAGGTCATTTGGTAAGTCAAATGACACTAAAAGGCGACAGTGACCGAGCAGCTGTTCTGGCAACAGAAAAGCCACGACGTTGTAGGATGTTTAGGCTGCAGCTGCGTTAACAGTGCCTGGCAGGCCCAATCCAAAGCAGAGGTCTCTGCGGGATTCTGGGCTGACAGCGTGAGTCCCACCTCCGTTAAGTTTCACCTACGCCCCTTCCAATTTCCATTTTAGAGCAGTGTTTACTTAGAAAAATAAAAAGCCATTTTTCCTAAACAAATAATTCAAGCAATTAAAGCCTCAAAATAAATATATATAAATCTCTCTAGGCCAGTGAGAATTAATGCAGAAATTAACTATAAATAAGAAAATGTTTTAGGCCATCCTTTCAGATTAGAGATCCTAAAAGTATATTGAAGAAATTCAACTCACGCCCTGGTCGGTGTGGCTCAGTGGATTGAGCCCTGGCCTGCAAACCAAAGGGTCGCCAGTTTGATTCCGAGTCTTTGGCACATGCCTGGGTTGCAGGCCAGGTTCCCCGCAGGGGGCGGCACGCACGAGGCAACCACACACTGATGTTTCTCTCTTTTTCTTTCTCCCTTCCTTCCCCTCTCTCTAAAAATAAATAAAATCTTTAATAAAAAAAAAGAATTTCAACTAATCATTAATTACAGAGTATATTATCATAGAGCAGTATCTTCTAAGAATTATAATAATAAAAATACTCTAAGCCTAGGACATTTTCTTGTGTATGATCTTTGCTTAGTTCCTCCGAAGAGTACCCACCTTTCTCACAATTGCTAGATAAGAAATACTAAGCAGTTAAAAAGAATGGCCCTGTTACATAAAACCAAATTATTATTTGGAACAAAAATTACATAAAAGTTTTGAGTGGGACAAATTTATAAAGCACAAATTCATTCTGTTCCTGTATTTAAAATACATGTGACCAGATTTCTCCAAAAAAACAAACAAAGATACACCTAAACTCTTAAAATTCTGCATAACAATTTTATGCTTTTTCATCACTGTGCCTTCCTACTTTTATTCAAAAGTATCTTTTCAGTATTCAGGACTTTTGGTTTTCTTTTGTTTGGGTTATAAGCGTGTTCATTTTGGTCTCAGTTTCTGCCTGTCCTTTACCCGGGATTATTAGGACCAGCCAAGATCGTGCCCTTCAAACTCCCCACCCCGCACTGTCCACATCCCCTGCAAAACCCAACGGGCTTACTAAGCTCAAGGGCTCGAGGGCCAAAGGGCTTTAGAGATCCCGACCAGAAGAGGCTCACTTCGGAGATCCTCTCTGCAACGTCCCCACCAGTATGAAGGCCCTGCTCTTCGCACACCCCAAGTCAGGGTCACCGACCCGGGGATGCAGCCCTCCCCTTATCCAAACATCAGTGGGTCCAGAATGTCTAACTTGTGTCCAGACCAGCTGTGTGAAGTGGAACAAAGCACAGCGTCTTTGAGTCTGAGCTTTTCTAAGAAACTTCCTGGAGGAAGCTCAGTAACTTCTTTCTGAAAGGAATGATGATTTTAAAGATCATACAAATGACAGAATTCTTCCTAATTACTTAAATGGCAGTAACTGCAATAAAGTATTTGCCCAGAATATCTTTGGTCTGGAGGATCTTAGCTAACAGGTGAGGTCTGCGTTTGAAAGGCATAGGCCGTAATTCTTTCCCATTATGCAATAAGGATTTTCAGCTCCTGAGCAGTCGCTCTGCATCCTGTCCCCTCAGGCACACACCCTGGCCCCTCACTCCTCAGTCCCCTGCTGAACAGTGTCTGCTACTGGGAGCCTGGCTTGGCACTTCCTGAGCTGTCACCAAGGGTCCACTGTTCTCCCAAAATCATTGCCAAAGTCAGTCTTCCCTCCTTATCTGTTCCTCTGCAGTATTTATCACTGCTGCCCACTCGAATCTTGTAAAAATTCTCTCTTCTCTGCCCCAGTGACAACACATGTCTGAATCTCACTTGGCGTTTTCTGACCACTCTTTTGTCATTCTTGGCTGCTACTCCCTGCCCACTGTTAAAAATATACATTCTTTGACTCTGTTAGCTTCACAAGAAAAAGCTTAAACCGGAGCATTCCTAATTCACTGTGTGGCAGTAGACAACCCACAACCCTCTCTGAGCTCCGTTTGTCCCTGAGAAAGGGAAGTGGGTAGATGACGTTCTGAAACGTCCCTCGGAGCTCTGCAGTCCTGTGCTAGTCTGTCCTCATTCATCCTTGCATTCTTCTGTCAGTACACAGCTTCAGAGAGCCAGCGCAGGTCTGGGGTGGAGCTCAGACCACCAGGAAACCATCACTCGCACTGTGGGAAGGAACCTTAAACGTCACCTAGTCTGGAACTTTCATTTTATTACAGGAAACCTAGGTCCACACCGGGTACGCCATTACCTCACCGTAGATGGAAAAGAAGGAAGTTTTCTGAGCTCTCTCTTGCTGCAAAATCGAAGCTCACATTATCTTCCAAACCTGGTTGAAGTACAAAATAGTATCAGGGTAAAATGTGATATAGAAGGTTTGAACTGATGTAGATCACTTTAGAGCCTTTTTACCCCCTTTAAAAGAATAAATCTTATGTTCTGGCCAGGCAGCTGTTAGTTAGAGCATCATCCTGGTACACCAAGGTTGTGGGTTCAATTCCTGGTCAGGGCACATACAAGAATCGACCAACGAGTGCGTAAATAATCGAAACAACAAACTGATGTTTCTCTCCCTTGCTCTCCTTCTCTCTGAAATCAATCAATCAATCAGTCAGTCAAATAAACTCTCTACTAGAACTCCAAGAACTCTAGAGATATATTTGCTATAGTGGGTGCTTTACACAAAGTAGAGCAATCTGATCACATAACATTGTAGATTTATGTTTTTAAACAACCAAATAAAACAGAACATCAAGTCAGAAAATACATATACTTACATTGATTCAAATGTCCAAAGCACAATACAGTACTATCTATTTAGTAGTTCACATGAATTAAGATTTACATACACACAAGCATGTAAACAAATATTAGTTACTAGGACAAAGACTTAAGAAGTTACTTAGACATTTTGGCATTGACACCTACATATTTATGGCAACAAATAATGATGGCTTTCAACTTTCAGTAAGACCTTTTGTTCAAGGATAGGAAATTTACAGAAGGGGAAGAAGACAGGGAAGAATAAAGGTACACAAATGTACCTTTATTGCACTCGTTACCTAGTATCACACAGGATGTGACAGTACCCAGTACCTTTTATCAGTGGAGTCTGCTCACTCTGGGCTGAAGTGATGAATTTAGCTGAATTATGCCCAAATATACTTTCATTTTGTGCTTCATAAAGTATGGCTGTTTGGAACAGGACACTAAAACTTTTCTTTAAAATAACTCAACTGTGGTCCTAATGAGTTAGTAAAGCCTCTTTTTAAAGAACAATAATACACATAAAGTTTATTTTTTCTTTCAAGAATCCTGAATGAAAGGACAACGTCAGTCCAATCACCCCCAGGGCAGCTTGGAAGTGATCAAAGGCGCTAAAAGACTAAGATAGCATTATCTAGAATCTAAAGTTTGGGAAACAATGCCATCTTTCTAGACACATTGAGGAACCAAAGTGCTTTACCAGATTCCTATCAACCATTTTTTAAAAAAAGACCATTTGGTTGTATTTCAAAAACCAAACACAATTTCAGTCCTGCTGTTTATTTTGCAGACCACACAGAAAGTTAAAGATGGAGAGATTAATTTACTACATCGTACAAGTGTAGGCGCAACATTAAGTGGACGCCACGAAGGGAGTGTCCGAAAACACCGAATTGACTGAATCCGAGTCAGATTTCACCCGCGGGGACTTTAAGATGCCCTCGGCGATAGCCGTTTCACCGGGGAAGAGCCTGACTTTCCCGTTCTGCCCCGCCGCGGTGTCCTTCAGGGGCTCCAAAAACACCACTCTTTTCCCCACGCCTGCCTTCCGTTCCTCGGCCGGGCCATCCCCAGCCAGGCCAGGACTGAGAATAGATGAGTGGGCATTGCTTTGGTTCAGCATACTTTTTTGTCTCTTGGCTTTACACCTGCAGGGACACGGCGTCAGATACAGGTACAAAAGTACCAAAACGATACTGGCCACACAGGCCGCAAGCGTGGTAAAAGCTGTGTTAAATGCCTCGTGGGCATGGGATCTGTTTACGGTGAAATTGCTCACGTTTACTGTGACCAGCACAGTTTCGTTTAGCAGGCGCTGCCTGTTCATTGCGATACAGGAATACACTCCAGCATCCTCAAAACGAGGGCTTTCTATAACCAGGCTTCCATTGTGAAACACGTGAAAGTTTTCCACCTCTTCGTCAGGTTCTAGCAGCCTGTTATCGGGACGCACCCACATGAAATCCGTATTCGAACTACCAGTCTTGCCGTCACAGGGAACAATCAGCCTTTCTCCCACTTGAGCCTCATGGATGAGGCCAAGTGCACGGAAGGAGCCATTGATGATGCTGTCAGAGCAATTCATAAAGCTCTCCTGGACCAGCGGCACCTGATGGGAACGCCCAGAGTCAGACCACATGCGGCAGGTATAATCATTCTTAAAATCCATCACGGAGCTAAAGTGCCTGCGATACCAGAAGATCAGCAATGAGTAAAGGGAACAGTCACAGATAAACGGGTTTCCATGAAGGTAGATGCCTCTCAGCTGCTTTCCTGGCACCAAGTTTATATGTTGCATTGGCAGGAAGGGGATCCGGTTATAAGAAACATCTAGAAACATCAGTTCTGCCAGTTTGAACCTCCCGACATACAAATCCATGGGGAACTTCGTGAGAAAGTTTCCACTTAAGTAGAGTTTCTGCAGCTGGGAAAGCCCTCCAAACGCTGACGGATCAAGGTAGGAGATGCGATTGTTGTACAGCAAGAGCACTTCCAGACCCTTCAACTCTTGGAACACTGCACTTTTCAGAGTCTTCAGCTTATTGGAGGATAAGTCAAGACACTTCAAATTTGGAGTTGTGGAAAAACTGCCCATGGAAATGCTGGTGATGTTGTTATGGCGAATAATAAGGGTGTTCAGCTTTCCAAACGACACTGGAATCCACTCCGAATCCAGAAGCCCAATTCTGTTATAACTCAGATCCAGTCTCTTAATCAGTTTGAAAAGGTTCCCAGGCACCTTGGACAGGTTTTTGTTGGTGCAGCTGACGACGTCGGTGGCACAGATGCAAGCGGCAGGGCACCCCCCGGAGGCGCCGGGGCCCACGGCCGCCGTGACCGCCAGCAGGCACAGCAGTCCCCTGCAGCCGGGCCTCCCAACTCCAGGACGGCTGGGCAGCGAGCGTAAACGCAAAGACATTATGGTCGCCTCTCTCAGGCTCTCCCAGGCGTCTCCGCCACCAGCTCAGCCTCCCACCGGGGAATCTGGTAAACAATCAGTATTTAAAGAGGGGATGGGGAAAAAAAAAAAAAAGCAAAGTTAACTACCACCAATTAACCCTTGAGAGTCGCATCTTTCTTTCTAGTAACTTTGAAAATGGAGGTTTAATTTCACACTGGGGAGCCTGCGTTGCTTTTTTACTGTTAAGTGCAATTTTTCCTGGGTTACTCCCGCTGACGGGCATTTACAGCCACACCATCTATGAATACAACCGTCTCAACATCAGGAATACAATATTTTTTTAGGTGCATCCTGCTTTTTTTTTTTTTAAACTCCCTCCAACAGACGCGAAAATACACAAACGCATGCTATAAACAATTCAACGGAAATACTTAGCAAGCCACCCGTCCAGAACTCCACTCACAGGGCTGCGAAGCCTCAGCACGGACTCGGGACGGACTGCCGACCGTGATGACTCCTGAAGGTCTGCGCGTCTGTCTGTCTGTCACTCTCGCATCTCCCGAGTTCCTTTCCCTCTTGCTCCCGGCGGGCGGCAGCCTCTCGCTGGCTCTCAACTTTGGGAGTTTTAAGGAGCCGCAGCGGCAGCAGCAACCCCGGGCGCAGCAAACGTCTCCGCCGGCTCCGGTGAGTTCTCCCGGGCTCTGGTCATCGCCCAGGGAAGGTTCCGTCTCGGCTCTCTGGCCGTCTGGTGCCCGCGCGCCCGGGGCCCAGGTCCCCGAGCCCGGTCCGAGGGGCGGGGGCGCCGGCAGCCGGAGGGACCCGGCTCCGCCTCTCCGCGCTCCGGCGGCTGCTGGGCGCTGGGTTCCCGCGCGCCGCCACCCGGGCTTTATCCCCGCGCGCAGCGGGTCGGGTGCGGAGCGGGAGGGCTGGGCCCGCCCCTGAGCGCCCTCCGCCCCCCCCCCCACCTGCGGGAACCCGCTCCGGGGCCGAGGGCAGGAGCGGGTGGGACAAGTGGAGGGGGCACCGCCGTGCGGGAAGGGGCCACAGCACAGCCAATCGGAGCGGCAGCCTCCCGCCCTCGGTCCTGCCCGGACGTCGGAGAGCGGGCGCACGGGTGGGCGCGCCGGGCGGGGGTCCACACGGAGGCCGGGGCTCGAGTCCCCCGGTTGGGGACGCGTTCACCCGCTCCCGCCAATTGCGTCCGTTTGTCCACACGGAGGCCAGGGCTCGAGTCCCCCGGGTGGGGACGCGTTCACCCGCTCCCGCCAATTGCGTCCGTTTGTTTAATCCAGAACCCGGCGAAGGTGGGGCCTTGGAAGATTAAGGGGGACACACCCAGCCCGAGAGGGAGAGGTCGCACCCCGAGAGAGCCTGGTTGGTCGCGGCCGCCAGGCCCGCTGCACCCCCCGACCGCTTGAGTCTTCCTTTGGGCCAGGGCCGGGCAGGTTTTCACGGCGCTAAGTGCAGTGGGTTTAAAGGTTTACAAAATAAACACTGAAGCAGCCTTCCGTCTCCGCCCACATTTGGGGAGGTGGGGGGGCAGGGAGAGCGGGCGCGCTCCGCGTGGTGCAACGGGGACCGCTGCTGGGGGGCCTGGGACGGCGCTGTGGGGGGGCCACCGACCTTCCCGGAAAAGTTCTACCCCTTTCCTCACTCGGGAGGCGGCCTCAGGGGTGGCGGCCAGTTCGCGAAGCAGGAGCAGCGGAAAGAAGGTCTGGAGCCCACCTCCTGGCTGGAATGCAAAGATAAGGGCGTTAAGCTTTAAAAACATCCGGCTCTTGCTGGACCAGGACTGATGCCAGAGTCCCTGCTCCGAGACTCCTCGTCCCTGCCGGAGTCGCAGGGGGCCTGGGCCGCCCGGTTGGAGCGGCTCCGGCGGGCAGGCAAGGAAAGGTGCAAGCCCCGGCAGACCAAAAAAAAGTAGACATAGGAGGTGGAAGGCGTGGGATCGATGGACGTTTAGATTAAAAATCCATTTTTGTGTGATTCCAAGGTGGTTTTTAACGATGGAATTTGACTGTGCCAAACGGCCTGTTTGCCTATTTTATCCGGATTAAAAAATAAATAAATTACTATCTTGACAAGAGATACTAAACAAATCGAAAGAGATGGGAAGACTGCAAACAGGACCAATTGATAGAACAATTGTGAGCAGGGCGTATAACTTGCAATATTACTTAATGTAGAGTAAAAGATGGTGGCGACCATCAATACCCCTCCCCCCACACACACACACACACACAACTGCATTTAAGGCGAATTGGTTCCTACACTGTCCGTGAACGGATTCCCGCGGGAGCCCCGGTCTCCAGGCCCATATTTTAAAGGGAATTGTGTGCACTATTAACTTAGCCTGTTTGTGTAGTTAATCTGGAATAGCACTGGTAAATCAAGGTTTTTCAGGTGAGAACAGCTTGGTTCAAATGAGTTTCAGTTTCATGAAAGTTGAACGTTACCCTAAAAGGATTTCGTACAGCCTGAAATACTTCCTCCTTGGGGGCTCCCAGGGGCAAAGCAGAGGCTGAGGTTTTTGTAAGCCCAGGAAGGAAGACAACCTTCCTGTGGGTCTCGGAAAACTGGGTCTCTAAGCTTCGTTTTTACAGTTAGAATGGTTAATAGAGAAATAGAATTGAAGAGTTTTACTCAGAGGGATAATTTTTAAATGACTAATCATTTTTTGCAGTGTTTTACCAAGTAGCTATCATCCTATTCAAAGGAGACCCTGAAGGTGGACGAAAGGCCTGTATTTAATACAAAACTAGTCTAAGAAGAATAAGTGACTTTCAAAATGGAAACAGGTCCTGCTATTATAGCTGCAGGCACATCACAAAAATATCACGCAAAGATTATGCAGTATAAATAAATTACATACACTCCAAATCCACAGACAACTTTATTTCTGTATTTAAATACCTGATTTTGGATTCTGCACATTTGTCAAGGAGAATGGAGTCGTGAAAGGGATGGGTTCACCAAGCTTGGAAAAGAGAAAGTGCAGAGTTAACCTTAGTAATAGTATAAGGTGTCACCTTATTTTGTGGAGGGTAATTTTTTGTCTTTCTAGCATCCCTTCACCTTCCTTACGTGGCCCACTGCCAACTAGAAGGCGAATTCCAAAAGGGCAGAAACGTTGAATTACTCACTGCTCTTTTCTAAGCTCCTACAACCCTGCTTGACAATTACTTGGCATTCGAAACTTTTGATGAATGAACTTATAAACGGAGAACGTATTCAGGGCTAACCCCACCTGAGTCTGCTGGTTGCCGTCCTGCCTGCTGCACACCAAATGTTCGTGTGAACACCGGTGGGGAGAGGGGAGAGAGGAGCCCCACCAACATTATTTGAGTCCTGTATCCCGCAGTCCTGGAGGTCACTGCACTTGAGACTTCCTTTTTAATTACATTCTCCACCCCCTCCCTTTGTTTGGCTTCCATGTAAATAGGCATTGGGCCATAATGATGTGCCAGAGACTGAGCTCTGTGTTTTACCGGCATTATTTCATTTACTGCTCACCATAACACCGTGACATTGTATAATTCTATCACCCGGATGGCAACAGTGCTCCAGATTATTTGAAATGGAATGAGACTAATTTAGCTTGAGGCTCCGTTTGAAGGACTTAGATGAAGCAGAAGAAAGACGTCTCTGACAGGGTGGTTGCAGCCTGGAATGCAGTGCCGAGACAGATGGTTGAGTTGCCTTCTCAGGAGTTTAAAATAGGACAGATAGATATTCCTCTGGCCTTTCCCACATGGCACAATCTATTGATATTTTTTCAAAGATTGTATTAATTTTTAGAGAGAGGGGAAGGGAAGGAGAAAGGGAGAGAAACACTGAGAAACAGAGAATCATCAATCAGTTGCCTTTCCTATGCGCCCTGTCCATGGACAGAACTCACAGCCCAGGCCTGTGACCTGAGCCGGAATCGAACCGGGAGCCTCTCACTTTGGGGGACCGTGCCCAACCAACTGAGCCACATCGGTCAGGGCAATCTTTTGATATTTTTGACTATTTAGTAATGACTCCAACAGACAGTAGAAAGTGGGTTGACATCTGACATGATTCTGAATCATGGGTGCTGAGTTTGGAAGTAATACCTACCTGGGGGCAGGGTATTTGAGTAGATGAAATCTCTGGGTTCTTCTGGCCCTCTTATTTCCAAAATTTCTTAGGTTGCAATCAAAATGTTAAGAAGTTAGAGATCTGAGACAAGAAATGGTTGCATCACTAGCTTGATAATTTGGAGTCATTTTTACTACTAATGAACATTTTAATAGCATTTTATGTCCTGTGAAGGGTCTCATATGCCTTATCTCATGTGATTATAGCTATAGCCTGTGCCTGTCACCAGGGGTAGCTGGGACACCAGCAGATGCTGAATGTTGCCTCCTTTTCAACCTGGGGGCACATCGGAGTTCTTCAGAGGCAGAGCTCACTGGGGCCTCCGCTCTGCAGGAGACCGACTGCTCCCTAGAGCTCTCTGTCCAGGCGTCCTCGTCCTGGCGTGGCGCTGTTGGCAGGGTTTTTACAATGTGACAGGAGCCTTGGCCCATAGGAAACACACACCTTTGCCCCCTCTGCTCCTGCAAAAGCCCCTTCTTCTTTTGGCCTGCCTCAGTGATTTTTTAGTTGCCCAAGATGTGTGGTAGAACCATCTCTTGACCGGTAGTGTGTTTCTCACTGTACAGAGATGAGCCCCAACCCCTGTGCTCTCTGAACTCCAGGAGGCATGTGGTTTCATTCTCTGGAAGCTCCCTAGACTAGAAATGGAAGGGGTGGGGGTGGGGTGGGGATGGGGTAGAGGACTTCATTGATAGGCTGTTTTTCAAAAAAACTTTACCCCAATAAATTCAATAAAAAGGAAAAGTAAATAAATAATAAAAAAGCATTTCGTTGAGATAAAATTCACCATTTGATCACTTAAAAGTATACTATTCAGTGATTTTAATGTACTCACCTTATTGTGCAATAATTCTAATTCCAGAATAATTTCATCACCCCCCAGAGAAGCCCTGTACTCATTAAGCAATCACTCCCACCCGCCACTCCCAGCCCCTGGCAACCGCGGACCCACTTTCTGTCACTATGGATCTGCCTATTCTGGACATTTCACGTAAATGGAGTCATATAGTACGTGGCCTTTGTGCTAGCTTCTTTCACTTGGCATAACATTTTCAAGGTCTGGATGGGGTTCTTTGGCCACGGGTTGTACAGCCAGTCGAGATCATCCCTTTGAAAGTCCCTCGTATTTGGTTTAGCTACACTTGAGCTTAGAATGTGGGGCATCTGCCCTGTCGTAGTCAGTCTTGGCCCAGAGTCCCATTTACCCAGAGCCTTCAATTTTGAGAGCATTAAACCCCCGCGTGGTTACAGAAACCCAGCACCTTTATGAGATGAGGAGATCTAAGTTCTAGTCTTGGTTTAAAAAACGCTTTAATCTCTCCATAAACCCCAACAAACAATTAAGAACATAACAATGAACAATTTCTTAAGTTCCCTTCAATGTCAAAAAGTTCACCTGATTTCCTGGTGACCGTGGGCCCTGGGAGCACACA